CCACTTTGATGAGTCAACCGCGTCCGAAAATCGATGCACTTTTTTGATTCCCTTGTCCCATTTGTGGGTCATACTGACCTAATAAATTTCAAGCATGACTCACTTGGGGCGTTAAATCACTCTGACGCCCAGATGCTAACTACGTATCCATGCTACGGGTGGCGTCATAAGGGATTTGACGTCACAAGTGAGTCATGCCTGGAATTGAATGGGTCAGTATAACCCACAAATGGGGCAAGTGAGTCAAAAAAAGTGCATCGATATTCGGACGCGGTTGACTCATCAAAGTGGGTCATCCAGACCATACCATTTCTCTCAGTGCAAAACAAATTTTGGTGAACCATGATTCAAATCAAAACCATAACCTTAACTAATAAATATAATTCGTTCCAAATTAGTGAGAAAAGCTTTCCATCAGTTAATTACAGCTATGATCATTTACAACTGCAGTCAAGGTACGTTTTTACTTTGAGTTTCTAAGAGCGAAGACCATTCAAGAAAAGACAGGGAAGGACCTATTAAGTGCATGATTCACCAACGAACTCACGTTAATGAAAGGCTTTCTTCAGATAATCATAAGAGATCTGCGATGCAGTCGTCTCATAAAAACAATCCCTATGTAATTTCTCGGAAGAAATTCTATCGCTCGGGTATGATACACCTATAATCTGAGCATCCTTCAGCTTTACGAAGCTCTTTATTCAATTTAGAGTCACCGGGACGAACATGAGAAATCTTAACCTAAGGTGGAAAATTGTTCGGTTGTTGACTACGAAAGAAATTTCCTTTTGTAGGGAATTTGCTATGTTCTGAAGACATTATTTGTAACGTTTTAATGAGGAATAATTTTAGACGTAATACATATGACTGAGTTGATAATCTATGTACGTCGTTTTTCCCACATGAACATTACTTAGAATTAACAAGGAAATTATTTAGTTAAAAATATGAATGCAATTCCAGACTCTAGCTTGCATCATTATTAAAAATTTATCGACCAAAATAATAAATTACGATGTTCTACGAATTTAGGACGGAGATACCTCAATCTTTTAATAAATTCTTTCAATTAGTAAGAGGATTAGTACTTATTATTATTTAATTAATTTCCTTCGTACAAAGAACAAAATCTTCAACGAGAATCAATTTCAGTTAATAACAAATATAAGCGATGACGACCGAGTAATTCTGAGTGAAAGTTTCAACGCTAGAGCAGCACAAGAGATGACAATAATTATGGCTGAGAGACGACGTCAAGCGACGGACCGAAGATGAAACGCGACGTTCGAGTCGTGCAGTCAGCCGAAGCCTCAGCTCACACACGCAGCGCTGCATGGCTATCTACATCCGCGACTTACTAGGCAAAATGAAAACGTTGAAATAATGTTGATTAGGCGTTTTTCTAACGTTCAGCTCTCACACACAGCGCTGCATGGATATCTACAGCCGCGACCCACCAGGCAAAATGAAAACGTTGAAATAACGTCAATTAAACGTTGTTCTAACTTCGTAATAAACGATATTTCATCGTCATTTGACTTGTGGAAATCATTCCACTCCAGGAGAAAACGAATTTGGACAAATTTCAACAGTCGAGATGCTATTAAATTTCGCCGATCAATAAAAACGCAAATGAATGCACATCACTCTTGACATTAGAGAAAATAACGCCCACTAAATCAGTGCAAAGTGAGAAACACGTATGAAATGATGAGTTTTTAATCTCTGGGGATACAAAATCGGAAAATGATGTTCAACACTCCGTACGCACATACAAGAATCGTCAATTTCATTCGCATCTTCAGTTACTTTCAAAATACAAATGCTCAACTGTAAGAATATAGTAGAATATTTAGCAGAGATATTGGCAGGATTGGGTTGAAGTAAGATGAAACGATTCAACGGCCTCAACATGGATTCCTTGTTCAAAAATACATGAAAACCGAGCAATCTGCCGCAATCATTTCTGAAACCCACAGTAAACCCTTAAAATTTTGCAGAAATACCTTGGCTCGAACCGATGACCGACAGGTTTGGATCTTGTAATTTGTACCACACTCTACAAAAGAAGTAAATTGAAATCCTGAGTAACATAAGGAGTAAAAAATCATGCATAACCGCATTTTCTTTCTAGAATATAACGTACAATTTCACAGTCATATAACACACTGAGTATGCCGACACGCGCTATGAATCGCATTCGATAAAAACGTAATAGAGGGCCACGCCGTAATGCAGACTGCAGCTCCCGAGCGTAGCACCGTTGTTTGACCGCAGTGTTGCGGTCGCAAGGAAAGGCCTGAGGGAGAACACAATTATCCCCCAAGCGTGTTGTCCATAATTAAGGCTTCATATCTCGCAGCTTGTACCGATCTCCAAACTCCAGTGAAATGATACGCAAGTCCTTTATTAAGGTACAAATGATTTGTATTGGTGCTCAGAAATTATCGTGTTCTATAACTTGAATTCAACTTTTGTTCTGACGTGAAGGTCGAAAAGTGTTTTTTTTTTTAAAGTTGATTATGAAAACAGAGGTATTTAACCATTGTGAACTAGACAAATGATGTACTAGTTTTAAAAACCACTTACATTTGGGCCGGTAATTAAAATTGAATTAATAATAGGAATGTTTGATCGACACATCCATAATTTACAAAATTTGGCTGCAATTATTCTGCAGAGATTATTTACTGACGCAAATAAACATTCCGCGTATATCAAGATATAAATACGGTGCGTCAGCGCATCATGAAAACTATATTTATGTAAATGTATTAAAAAATAATACAAGCACCGCACGCAAAAATTGGCTAGCGAGTCCATAGATAAAAAATGCACGATAAGTTTCAATTTATCTAAAAGTCTTCTGGTATCGAAAGCAAAAAAAAGTCAGTAAATTTCTTTCAAAGTGAATCAATTGAATCTGAAGTATCTGGGCAGGCTAAGCAAATTTTACCTCGCTTTAACTGCCTTATCCTCAGTCAATTAAAACAAACGTATATAAAGCTGCAGTTTGAATAAATTGAGTATGGCCTAATTATATTGCATAGTAACTAAACCAACTAAGTAATTACGTACGTTGTAATTACGCTATAGCTAATAGCGCATTCATGTAATTTGTTACATAATTAGTAATTATTGTAATTAAGCAAAGATAAGACGAGAGAATGATCGGGTATCGACGGAAAATTCAAGGACTACTAAAGAAGGAACGGGATTTTTTAGGAACAAAGTATCATATACAGTAAAAACTTGAATCTTATCTTTATTTTATTGCGAGTACATAACAATGCAAGCCTAAATTATTTTCACACAAAATGAATACAAAATCAAATGTAAGTTGGATAAACCTGCGTTAATCACGATTTAATGTAAGGGACTCAAGACATAAGACTGCTGCGACACAAGTCTATAAATAAATAATTTATAAAAAATCGACGTAAGATCCCAACACAACGGAAACCGAATTTTCGAGGGCAAGAGGCTAACATCAAAAGCCAGAATTGCGAATCTCGCAGTCCAGAAAAGAAGACGAGAGAGGCTCGATTTCACCAACACGGGGTCAGCTTTCGAACGCTTCGTTCCGTCACAATCTGCTGCACGCAAGTCGAGGAGTTTGTGTGCGTGCAGCGGATGCCAATTTTTTAAAGAGATTTAAAGATGATAGTCTTTGATAGCTTAAAAAAATTATTTCTGGTGTTGAAATAGTGTTTTGGTCATTTATTTGTTATTTGCGACACTACTGAAGCTGTGAAAAATGAAGCTCAATAAATGCGAAAATTTCAAAAGAAAATTCAATTCAATTCAATTTTTCCTTTTTGCAAATTCAATCTCTCCTTCCTACGTCAATGAATATATTAAAAAAACTTATGATTAGAAGGTATGGAACGCACACGAAGTGAAGAGATTGTGGGACATGTTAAAGCAATAAATTTACCGGAGACCACCCAAATTTTCGAAACCCCCTTACTGACAAGTATAGGTCCAGGGATGAAATCACGTGAATTATAGTAATTTTGGAGCGGTATTATAAATCAGCCTTCAGCGTTGAATGTAACCTGCGTAATATAAGCGTGCACTACAATCACAATTTACGAAACCCGCCACTTGATGGAACGTACACAAAAAAATCAATGAACGGATTATTGTCCAAATATTGAAAAACTTCCGTACCTTCAGCATAAGAGAGACGACGTAGCGATAATACGCATTTTTGCTAGGCATATTTTGGTCATGATGACCCACACATGTCCAAAATATGCATTGCTTTTTGGACAAGAATTCACTCATTTCTCCCAGTGTAATTTGCATTGCGCCTGCACTGTAATAGGTAAGCGGCGCTCAATGCAGAGGCATGCGCAAGATCCAAACAAAACACTGCGGCTTCGGAGGCCCTATCTCGGTATGAGCATCATTGACGTCATCAGACGAAACGGCTATCAACATTTATACGACTTCGATAATAACAGAAGATAATTTTTCTTTTAATAATTCAGAGAGAAAAATTACAACAAAATAACACGTGTTTAAGAATTCACAGAGTCCATGACGGAAAATTTTCATCCAATATTGATCATAAGGATTCCGTCGCGATATTTTCAGTTCATTTTCTCTGTTAATTTCTATGTCCTAGGCTTTGGTAATATGGAAATTAAGTGCTTTTTCAATGGAGTTTTTCTACGAATATTTAGAGTAGAATTATTTACTTCGATCATTAAATCCGTTAACCGTCATATAAAACGTGAGATATCTTGGTTAATCAATATTATTCATCTTTTACCACTAAACAGTGCTTAAAAATTGAATCTTGCAAATTATTAGTTTTCAACTCTTGCATAAGAATATCTTAATCATTGCTTATGTAACATATTTTTTTATTATCAGCAGCTGGCATACTCCTGCTCATCCTGCAGCTGGCATACTCCTGCTCATCCTGCAGCTGGCATACTCCTGCTCATCCTGCAGCTGGCATACTCCTGCTCATCCTAATGACTGCTCACCTGTGATGCGGAGGAGGAGGCGGAGGTCTGTTGTCTGAGCAGAGAGACGCTGAGCTGTCAGAGCGCTCAGACCGAGCAGAGCTGAAGCCGCTGCTGGAGCTTGTCCGTTTATTTTGACTCGCTGTGAGCAGAGAAACAAAATATAATATAAACAGTATACAATATATAATGCATCACTGTATAATATGGTGCAGCAAAATAATACAATTAAAATAAAGCAAATTTTTATCCTTTTTTAGTGAATTCTTAATATAACAAAATATAATATTAACAGTATACAATATATAATGCAGCACTGTAATACGGTGTATGGTGTTGCAAAATATATTTAAAATTAAGGAAACTTTTATCCTTTTGTAGTGAATTCTTAAGGTAACAAAATATAATATTAACAGTATACAATATATAATGCAGCACTGTAATACGGTATATGGTGTTGCGAAGTATTATTTTTAAAATGAAACAAACTTTTATCCTTTTGTAGTGAATTCTAAATTTTTAATTTATAACTAGCAAAGACTAATGAACTCGACAACAAATTTGACTAAGGGCCTAACCTATATGACCTATACGGCCCGCACATGTAATGCAACTTCACAATAAATCTTTTAGATATGAACTATTTCAAATTAAGAATTATAGGTAGTGTGAATTTTAAATATAAGAAATATAGATAGTGTCAAAAATGTCATAAATAGTCTTATAGAGCCTTTAACACATACAGATTATGAACTATAGTTCATTGCGATGACTCGTAATTCTAGAACTTGCAGCTTCTATTTGTATGAATCATCATGCGTTAATACTCTACTTGACATCCAATACAATCCCTATTGTATGGTCACAATGGTGCATATCTTCATGCTAACAATACGCGACTCGACATTATTATGATATACAACAATGAAGCTAGCCTACAATTGTAAATGAAACTATAAAAAAATTTCTACTGATCATTATAGTTCAAAAAACTGAAAAACTCAAGAAGATAAATCTGATAGTTTTTTCCAATTCTGATTATAGACTCATCAATTTAACAGAGAGAACTTAAATATATAAGCATTTAACACGATAAGATGTGCATAAGTAATGATTAGATGGGAATTACGTTGGTGATCACACACACAAGCACATACCGCCAACTACTAAACATGTGAACATAAATATGTTCCAATAGCCCCTTCCGGTCGTGAAAACCTTCAATACTTCCATTTCTGTCTTATCACAAAGATGAGGAGAAATACCAGCAACAATGATATATGCATATAATTCAACCAGCGTCAGGTGAACACTGAACACACTGGTACTACCAGCGCCAGGATAACACTGAACACACTGGTACTACCACCACCAGAGTAACACTGAACACATAGGTACTACCAGCGCCAGAGTAACACTGAACACACAGGTACTACCAGCGCCAGAGTAACACTGAACACACAGGTACTACCAGCACCAGGGTAACACTGAACACACTGGTACTACCAGCGCCAGGGTAACACTGAACACACAGGTACTACCAGCGCCAGGGTAACACTGAACACACAGGTACTACCAGCGCCAGGGTAACACTGAACACACAGGTACTACCAGCACCAGGGTAACACTGAACACACTGGTACTATCAGCGCCAGGGTAACACTGAACACACTGGTACTACCAGTGCCAGGGTAACACTAAGCGCCAGGGTAACACTGAACACACTGGTACTACCAGCGCCAGGGTAACACTGAACACACTGGTACTACCAGCGCCAGGGTAACACTGAACACACAGGTACTACCACCACCAGAGTAACACTGAACACACAGGTACTACCAGCGCCAGGGTAACACTGAACACACCGGTACTACCAGCGCCAGGGTAACACTGAACACACTGGTACAACCAGCGCCAGGAGAACACTGAACACACTGGTACAACCACCACCAGAGTAACACTGAACACACTGATACTACAAGTTCCAGGGTAACACTGAACACACCGGTACTACCAGCGCCAGGGTAACACTGAACACACTGGTACAAGGAAGCTATGTAACACTGAACACACTGGTACAATTAACCCACCACCAGAGTAACTCTGAACACACTGGTACAACCAGCGCCAGGGTAACACTGAGCATTCTGGTACAACGCAGCTATGTACAATGTACACTTGGGAACGCAAGTGTGGCAAGAAGGCACAGGTGTACCTTGCGTGATGTCATTATACGAGGTTTCTAATGCAACCAAATTTTAAGCGATCATATTGAAAATTTGTTCTTTCTCGACAGTTTTACACAATTCATTCAAGAATTACAGTGTTAAATATGTTCGTCATCAAATGTACTTTGATCGTATTTGATAAGGTAAACTACCTTGTAAAAATAACATTGCAACGTTTGAGCTCGCATACTTGCGTGGTTGTTGAACAATTTGAATAGTTGATGAATATACGTGCGGCTAAAAAATAAAGAAGCTGCTTGTTCAGAGGTAGATGAGGTTGATGTTGAACCTTCACCTAAACGTTTTAACTAGTTAGTTGAGAATCAAAATCTGATGCTCCGATCAGAATTTCGGAGCATCCATAATACCGAACACTTCTTAATCGATGCTTATGATCTTGAAGTTTAACCTAATAAATAATTTGTTTCTCTGGCGGTCATTCTAAATTTTACCATTGCAATATTAGACACTATGCAACTTTTTTCATTTACAGTGTCAGCTTATTTCAACATTACCTTCTCCCTTGGATTAAAAAGATAACGTTCACCTTTAAATAATCAGGTCGTCGGCTAGGATTTGATAGAATCTCTTAAAATAACGTAACTCACTAATCTTTGCAAAGACTTTATGTACAGATGACTTTAAAATTTTTTCAAGTAGTCCGCAGACGAAGGGTTGAAGTTCAATGAAACTCTTAACTATAATCCGCATACGAAGGGGTAAAGCTTCGTAAAGCATAAACCTCTAAAAATAGCACAACTCGTCAATTTCTGCCAGGCATTCAAATACGGACGACGGTGAAAATGTCTATGGTTAAACCAAACGAAGGGTTAATGTTAAACTAACCTCAACACAACTGACCAATTTTTGTTCTAATTGCAAGAGTTCGCATACGAAGAGTTAAATTAAACTACCCTGTATATAAAACAGCAGGAGAAGAGTTCGCATACAAACTCCTGTTTAACTACTATTTTAAGTAAAACTGCCCTCTAACTTAAACAAAACTCACCCATTTTCGTTCTATTTGCAAGTTAGCATACTAAGAAATGAATGAAGTTGCCCTCTAAATAAAGCAAAATTCACCTATTTTTGTTCTATTTGCATCTTTGTCCTTGGAGTTGAAGAGCTTGAACTTGTCTAGCACCGAGTCCTTGTGTTTGGTCTGCGCGGGGGGCGGCTGGGGGGCCACGGGTGCAGCAGCCACCACGTGGTATGGGGAGGCCACCCCGTGACTGGTAGGTGCAGACGGGCCCCGTAGGGAACGCTGGGGTCCGGTCCCGTTACTTCTGTAACAAACGGGGAACAAAATCAGAGGCAATGTTATCAGATATAGGTACGGGTTTTCCGGTCATGTTACTTCTGTAACAAAGGGGGAACAAAATCAGAGGCAATGTTATCAAAAATAGGTACGGATTTTTTCTCCGTTGGTTAATCAATGATCGATTTTAATGCTAAATATACCAATAATAAACGAGATATCGGTCGCTATACGTGCACTTAAGCGAGTTTTGATAGTATCGCGCTTGATCACGAAAATTTCTCGCATCTGTGAGTAATGCATTTGATTCAGTACAAATAAATCGTCGGCTTAGGGATGCAGTAGAACATTGCAGCATCGCAGAAACAATATCGGAATCTAGGAATAAGGTACGATATTGAAGAAATAGTCTATAATTGGCCAAAATGTGTGGGATGAAAGCTAGAAATTTCCGGATGCCACAGAACGAGTCAGGCATTTCACAACTTTTTCATTGGTTAACACTTTAGTATTGCTGTAAAGTTAGCATCAATTAACAGCTCCATCACCGAATTGATTATCTGCAAGTGTGAACTTCAAGTTATAGATATGAGTGTGTATGAACTAAAATATTGCACTCGGGAGCCAACGACCGAGATGCTCGAAATGAGAATCTTCTAAGTAGATCGAGGGTCTGATTGAAATTTCTCCATTTGTCATTATTGAAATATTGAAATTTCTCCATTTGAAGAATTTGTCATTATTCATTACGTCCACAAAACGTCATGGTTTATGTAAAAACTGAAGTTTTGCGCCAAATAATTCATCTCTCTCTGCGGTGACTATGCGACACAGATGATGGTAACAAATAATATAGACGCGGGTTATCCATAGCAGTGATGATAATTCAATTTCAATCAACAATGAATTGCCGCCTAGCTTACATCAGTTTGCTAAGAATTTCGCCGATTTAAATGCTGCAATATCAAGTGTTCCATCTTTAGTTGAAAGCTCTCCGGCCTTAAGATTGTGTGCACTTCCGCGGTCGATTGATTCCTTGTTTCTTTCATACTGTATAGAGGACCACAAGTGTACAACGCTATTGTACAGATACGATCAGTAAAATACGAGTGTGAAAACTCTGCTTTTCAGTGTGATCAGAACCTGCATGGCGGAAATTTGGAAAGCATAAGCATAGCGACAGAGAGTTGTCTCTAAACATTTTTTAAGAACGTCGAATGATATATGATGGTCGATGAAGAAAAAACACGAAAAAATGAGAAGCTGACAGGGGTATAGGTCCATTGTGGCAGCGTTATAAGTCCAGAGTGACAGCGTTATAGGTCCAGAGTGACAGCGTTATAGGTCCGGAGTGACAGCGTTATAGGTCCGGAGTGACAGCGTTATAGGTCCCGAGTGACAGCGTTATATAGGTCTATTATGACAGCGTTATGGGTCTAGAATGGCAGCGTTATATAGGTCGAGTGACAGCGTTATAAGTCCAGAGTGACAGCGTTATATAGGTCGAGTGACAGCGTTATATATGTCGACTGACAGCGTTATATAGATTCAGAACTACTACGTTATAGGTCTAGAGTGACACCGTTATATAGATCGAGAACTACTACGTTATAGGTTAAGAGTGACATTATAATAACGTAAATGCAGCACTGCGATGCATATGCACGGCGTTAGCCGGAAACACACTCCATTGTTGCATGGAAGTTGCAGGAACTTTTGACCGTAACTCCCCTGCGCTGTGAAACGTTCTCTTTGTTATGTAATAACATCCTTGAGGGGCAAATGATACCTGGTAGCTCATCGTTCGGTTTAGAAATTCACTTGAATAACGCTCGTTGAGGATTAAGAATAATTTAAATATATAAACTTGGAACGGCACGAGGAAGCGAAAACGTTTTCTCAAATAATAATACCTCTAATAATAATAAACAGTTAAAATATTGAATTTAAAAAAATTCTGAGAGTTAATTCAATAAAAAACATGCAGCGGCATAGTGTGTTCAAAGATATATAAATTAAAGCAAGCTGCATCTAATAAAGATGGTACAACTGCGTCGTCCAGTGATATTCGAAAAGTCGCAAAACACAAAAAAAAAATCCGAAAAGTTTACCTATTGTGTCAGTAGAAACATCAACAGAATATAAAATTTCCGGGAGATTAATTTGATAAGTAGACAAGTAAAAATTGTTACGCGGAGCGCTGGACATGAACGTCGCATAGCATAACGAGTAAATATCATGAACGATATACGCGCAAGATTAATTTTAATTTAAATGTATAAATTATATAGTAGAGTTGAATTAAACCAATGATAGACCAGATCGATTCGGAACAAAAGACTACACTACGGAAGCGGGAAGAACAAAGCTCGCAGAGAACGTCGCTCGTTCTTTCCAGTTAGTGGGTACCCTCACAAAACAACTGGAAATATCTAAATGGAACTGAATAGAAAACGACTGGAATTATCCAAATAGTGACACACTTCCATCACGTAACATTTATGCGCCCTTTCATTCCGCCATACTAGTTCAATATGACCCTCATAGGTGCAAAAAATGCATCGTAATTTGGACTGTTCAATTCATTTATTATCCCATCCATAAAATTCAATAACTTCAAAATACTCTGCAGTAAATGCTCCCAAAACAGGAAAAAAGTTTCCTAGAAAACCCACTCAGTTATACGAAGTTCAATTCATTTATCAACACATCAATAAAATTCAATAACTTTGAAATATCTTGCAGTATATGCTCCCAAAACAGGAAAAAAGTTTCCTAGAAACCCATTCCGTTATACGAAAAGCAGCACACTGCAATAACAGCCACGCAATGCGCATGAGCGACGCTGCGGCCGGATGACACCGCGTCGCAGGCTCCGTAATTTGCCTGACGTGCAATTGCTACACTCAGCGGATGACGAAATGTCTCGTAACTCAGAGAAATGAGTGGGACTTTGTCCAAATAACCATCCACTTCTTGCTCTTGTGTGGGTCATCTCGCAACCCGGAGAAATGAGTGGGACTTTGTCCAAATAACCGTCTAATTCTTGCTCTTGTGTGGGTCATCCGAGCCCGATTTGGCCCGGCACTGGGGTGTATCAGTGTATCACGCACACAAAATGTCACTCTTTAGACAATATGACCAATGAGTGGTAGAACTTACAGCGCGAACGGCAGAAGTTGCATGCAAATGAAATACTTTATGGCATGCCAATTGATGCCATCAATTAAATATTGTGGGTGGAAGTAGCAACACAGTTATGCTACTCCATGGTAGTAAGCGAAATATCAAGATTGAAATTTGCAGCAGTTCAAAGCCAAGGATAATAACAGAAATATCGAGGTCTTACGAAGTAATATAAAAGTGAAGGAATGATGATGCTTTTTCTCCAAAAAATTATAACATAATGCAATGGCTTACGGGAGCTACAGTCAACAACCTTTAAATTCCCCTTCTCGACGACTTAAAGCGTGGCTAACTTTCGTAGAGAAAATTTAGGAATAGTGAGCTCATAATTCAATTAGTAGGATATCAGTTCACAGTGCAAAAAAATTATTCTAGTGAAATATTGAAGATGACAATACTCACCTTTGAAATGGTTTATTTTTCCACTGTTCAACTGTCATCGTGATGTTTTACAATAATTAATCGGATTATAAGATTTGAGTTTTAACACCTAAACATCGTCATCAGGTGACACTAGCATCGTCGAAGGACTTTCACTGTTCACGAGCCTTCACTTCAATGTATTTTTAACGTTAGTTTATACATTCATGTAAAATGCGAATAATCAAGCCTTTTCACGTCAGAGGAATTTCATCACACTGAAGGCATTCTTGAAAATAAGAATAATCGAGCATTCATTTCACTGCATTTTCGACGTCAGAGGCATAAGTTGAAAATTAGGAAAACCAAGCCTTCAAAGGATAATAATCGCCAAAGCTATTAATTAACGGATAATTACCGCATTACTGAATAAAGCACAATTAATAATTTCGATTACTGATTCGTTATAAATTACTCTTGAATTGTGTCCCGATTTCGTCACTCTTTTTCAAAAAAATTAAATCCAGAGATTGCATCAAAAGTGTCATAGAAGGTCCCAAAAATATTTCAATTAAACTTTTATCAACACTACTTTTCCCTTTCCACAACTACAGCTAAAACATGATGGCTTTTGTCAAGTTCAGAGCCTTTATTGAAAACTCTTGCTGGATATACAGTGCGGACAGCCCTAACAACGAGATTACAGTTAAGATATCGCAGCACGAGATAACCACGTATCCACTATCCACAAATCCACTTCCATACTAATTAACAGTCGTCCAAATGAGATATTCCAAGGCCAGAGTTGTTATCGTATGGGGAGAAAATCCTTTATAAACCCTACAATACAACATTGCCACAAATTTGAAATAACATAACATGAACAATTCATTTCAAAAAGTATTTTCGCCAAAACATTAATGAATTAGGCGTCTCTGAATTTTACTTGATTTCTGAAAATACTTTAGTGGTTTCGATAAAGAATTTTGGCACCATTCAAATTTTTAACTGACTTATTTTGAATGACGCTTTCCAAAGATCCCACAGAGGCGCAAAAGATTACCAAATACTACTTAATGAAGTTCTCACTATATATAGCGGTTGTTGGAACGGCTGAATTATCTAACGTTAACTGGTGCTATCGATAACGATAACTGGTGATATTCTAACGATAACTGTTGATACTCTAACGATAACTGTTGATATTCTAACGATAACTGTTGATATTCTAACGATAACTGATGATATTCTAACGATAACTGATGATATTCTAACGATAACTGATAATATTTTAACGATAATTGTTGATATTCTAACGATAACTGATGATATTCTAACGATGGCTGATAATATTCTAACGATAACTGAAGATATTCTAGCGATAACTGAAGATATTCTAGCGATAACCGATTAAATTCTAACGATAATCCCAGCGCGCGATCATGATAAGTGGCCAAATAATCTTTAGAGTAGAAACTGCAACATTGATAATGAAACTTAGTTTGAATAATAGAGCAAATTTTTCTTGGCGGTAGTGAGCACGTTTCATAACCATTATGGAATGGAAACATTTGTGCAGAAGTAATTTCAGCTACCAGAGTCTGGTCCTATCTAGTCTAAAAGACATGTTTATGATAGATTTTTACGTAAATAATGTTACAAAATTATTAATGCTAATCATGCGAATTAAAAATATTCATCAATATTAAAAAATATTATTAGCTTACACGAGTAAATAAGAAGGCAATTACAAGTACAGCACAAAATTAAGTTCACTTATTATAGAGAGCATGTCATTTAAATTACAAGTACAGCACAACATTAAGTTCATATATCATATCATTTAATATCATTTAAAAAAAACAAAGCGCGTCGACGTCTAACAGTCATGTTTGTGGATGATAAACGACGTGGCAGAAGCAGTCACGACTACGGGGCGAGAGACACAAATATTTACAGGTAGAAAAATATTTGCGTGACGCCGAAAGGGCGAGGGTTCTAGGGTTAAAATTGAGACTTGATCATCAAGCAGGATAAGCGAAGACCAGTTCTGGCTAGCATAAATTCATCAAGAAAAAAGATGGATCAAGAAAAAAAAATGATGTCCGCTAAAAGAAAAAAGATGTCCGCTAGTGTCATATGATTACCCACAAAATAATTTTCATTACTATTTAAAAGAAGTAATATATAATAATTGATAAGTTATAAATGAAAAATAATTGAATTTATCTTATTAAAAATCTATGACAGAAAAAGGCGCTCTGAAAAGGCCTGAGCCGATTAGAGATCTCGTAAGCGGGAAACTTAAAATAAAGACACTAATTGATGTGCGATGTATTCCGTGAAAAAAAATTATTAGGACGAGCATAACATTGCAATAGGTCAAAATTCCCCATATGAAACTTTTAATCAAAAAACCTTTTTCATGGTCGGACGAAATATAACAAACTCTAAACAGGTCAACATTTACCAGTGAGAAGCAACAAATTGATAAAGCCACTTCAACTTGGAGTTCAATCTTTGTTTTTTGAAACGTCGAAAAAATTCGCACTTGAAATCCCCGAATTTTGACTTAAAGAAACTTCAGAAAATTAGAACAAAATTAAAGAGCAACAAAATTATTGGAGCGAAAATAAAGACGATAAGACAGACACAAGACAAAAACTAAAAATGAAAACGATAGACAGGACGTGTTGACAGTCACACCCGTCACAATTACAGTCATCGCAGCTAATGACAGTCGTGGCACGGGCATTAGCCATCTTGTCGTAAAAATAATCATTTGAGTACCGCAGGGACAAAAAAAAAAAAGAACAAGTCAACCGAGTTCAATGCCGAATGACTTTTATTATCACTAATCTTGCAGGAGCAAATGAATGTTTCATTAACAGTAAACAGGAAAGAAGAGACATTCCAACGTGTGAACTTCTTTTAGTTCCAGATAGTACCGACCACAGGCACAGAAAATCACTAAATTTTTCTTATCATTTCACCAACATTGACTCGATTGTGAGCATTTCATACACAAAATTGAGTGACCACAAACGCAATTACTATTTTCCTCACGGGACACACTGATTAATTTCAATCATAAGATAATAACACATCTATATATACGATAGAAAAAAGCTTTAAACAACGTAAAAGATCAAAAATTAATGAAAGCAACGTCAACGCGAAGAGTGAGGAAGTGACTTCAGGCGAAACGCTGTCAATGCACAAGCAACCTTCACAAGGATGTCTGACGCAGCAAATTTCCCCGGTACAAGTCAACGGAACAGCAGAGCGACGCGCACACACTCCACACGACCGCCGACGCGTTACTGAAGACTGAACTGAACAGTGAAGACTGAAGAGACTGAAGAGTGAAGTACTGAAGTTACTGAACTAATCGAAGGCTTGGTCTCCAGTTAATGATTTCTCTATTTTATATGCTCCAAAATATAATTATGTATAGATATAATGTTGAAATAGATATTTGGAAAATTGACATAAACAAAGCTTACTGTCGGTCTTAAGGATGATTTCACAACACACGCTTAACCTTGTTTTTTTTTTAGTAGACACGAGAAGTCTCGACACCTAAATGCAACAATTTAACTTGTAAACTATTGAGGCGATAATGATTTAATTACAACAGCTCCTTTGCAGACTGCAGGAACCCAAGGCATGTTGAACTACATAGAAACATGAAAATTGAATTCCACAACCACAAAAAAAAAGCCATAAAATTTTTATGTAATAAAAAATGGAAATTCAATAAGAAGTCAAGTCAATTACGACAGTAGAGGTACAACCGTTCGCACAAACATTGTGTCCTCGACCTTGTGCCTTAAACAATGAAAGAAATAGTGCGATTACGGGTTTATTCACGGATGAATTCAGCAATGAACAAAGTAATCCTAACAAAGGATAAGATGACGTCAAGATGACATCACTGCATTCCTGTAATGACGGATATGTTATGTGCAGACACGCGGAGCAATGCTTTATGCGGTTAGCAGGACCTATAGTGGAACTTTATAAACCAGTTATATTCAATTTGAATGACACTTTGTTAAAAAACTATTACCGTCAAATAAAAAAATTTTTTAGAAAATGCTTGAATAAAGGAACTGAGTTAAAAATGAACGTGCAAATTTTTAGATGACAGCCTCATTCTTTCAACAGTTATATATAACTTCACGTTCAAAACAATATATAGGAAAAGGGGTCCAGCAGCATGGACTGACAAGGAAAAGTTTGTACTAAAGGACATAGGAAATCTTAAAGGATAACATGCAACCTCTCTTTTTCAGCATATGGTTGGTCACGTACCATCATAACGATGGTCTTCTCTTTTTAGCGCATTTTCTCATTTATGGAAAAAATGCACGATTGTGCTCGCCATGTCCGTCCGTCCGTCCGTTTGTCTGTCTGTCTGTCCGTCCGTCTGTCCGTGACCTCAAGTTTTCGTCGACGAGAAAATACGCTCTCTGTCACTCACCGCAGTGAGTACTGAGTTATATTTTTTATTAACTTTGAAGTAAAGTCACGTTTTACTGACTTTGCCGGTTAAGCGGACACAGCTCTAATTCACAGCAGATGGAAATACATATTCGTCAATACCCTATCAACGCGTTGCAAATAATATGCATTCGACTGAAAGTGAATGTAAGGATCTAATTATAATATTAAACCTTAGGTTCCTAGTACAGTATAATTCAATCAAGATAGCGAATTAACGCTAAGCGTTTCTACGCTTCACCATAGAGGACGGCGTCAAAACTATATATAAATGACACGTGGCAGAGCAGAATCTATGCGAGATGCGTGAATTATTCAGCTACACTATTATTATAAAATTTCAAATATACACTATTATTATAGATTATTATATAAATCATTGAAACAATATACAACAATGCGATCAAGATTCAAACGAAATGAATAAGATAATCGCTGAAACAATATACATCAATGCGATTAAGATTCAAACTAAAAGAAAATAGATACCAGAGCAGGCGCTCGAGTGATGCGACGGAACCACAGCGCCCGAGGCGCCCAGCTAGAGGCACCCGCCTGTCTGGGAACTGCCTTGAGCCTCG